TTCAGCTCCTTTAGGTGATGGAAAATTGAAACAGAATAATATTAAAATACAATAAATTATATATATATGGGAATAATTGCTGAAGGGAATAACAATTCTTCAAATGAAATTTGCAAAAACATATCTACTAAAATTATAAGTCAATTTTAAGAATTGTGAAGATTTAAAAAAACAGAAATTGTATTATCACATTATGGAATACATCCCTTGAAGTTATTACTAAAACAATCAGATAGAATATTAAATTGTACAGTATTACTACACGCACACATTTGCTGAAAATTAAAAACCATATCTTACAAAATGGTCTGAATTTTATGTTGCAGAACACGGAAAGTACCCCAAAAAATTAAAATTTGTTTAAAAATTGTACAATTTTTAATAGCTAATATCTGATAGCTAATTTTAAACAGATTTTTACTAAATGTTTTTAAGGTAGTTCCAAACAATGCATACACAATAATGAAAGAATGCAATAATATATAATCTGCAACAAATTATCACTTGGATCTAAGATCTATTGACATATTTAAACATTTTAAAAATCTCATATAATTAATATTTCTAGATTTTGAACAGATTAAAACTGCAAAATACAAATACAATTAAAATTCAAAACTGATAAAACATCTAACAGATATATGCCATGCACTACAGATTCCAAAAATTAAAATAGTCAACACAAAGTTGAGTTAAAAGGAGACTAGGAAACTGTATCTACTTCTGGGATTGAATCCAAATTGTTAAATGTTATTTACTCTCAGCAAAACTTTTTCATACCTGATTTTAAGAGAACGAGGAATGAATTTCAACAAAGCAAATAATTCCAACTAAGGATCTCAGAAATTTGGACTGAACCACTTCTAGAACAAGGTTATCTTTATATCCACAGCACTGTACACATATAGTATAGCAAAAGACTTAGTTCTTTAGTTTTGAAAAAAAATTGCTATAAGCAGTTAGCTGTTTCAAGTATCATTTAGTGCTGTGTCTGATTATTATGTATGGAGTGTAAGGTTTGAAGATTGAAGTTCCCAGGATATAGAGAATTGAAAATAGGTATTCAAAGGCCTTTACCTGCTCAGTTTGGTTATTGTTGTTTGTATGAGTATAATGGAGGCTAGCATGCTGCTTGGCAGATACAGCCACATTTCTCCCAAGGCTTATCTGAAGCTCTCCCAGTTAAAGTATTGGCTCAAATAAATCTGTGAGAATGAGTTTTTAGTCCAATTAGTATTGATGGGCTGAGAGCATTGATAGACATAATTTCCCATGGAAGAAGCAAATCACTTCCAAACTGATCCAGTGTTGTTTCTTATCCTAGCCATATTGGGCTCAGACAAAGCCTGGAGCAAAGTCAGGCAAAAAAATTTTTGATCTTGATGTACAGAGGAATAAACACCTCTGATCTCTGCTACAATGAGGTTGTGGATCCTCCTTTCATCAACCCCAAATACTTTCCCTGTATACTTTCACTCTTACTTAGGAGGGCAGTCAAACTGACATGCCTGAACAATTTGCCCACAAAGGTATTGACTAGGAAATTCAATAATATCCCCTGTCTGGAGCTCTTACACATACGATATGCTTAGACAGACATTGAGATGATGCTTTTGAAATGCCCTGCTATCTTCCAATTACAAATTACTTAATCCCAATAGGCAATAGTATGCTTCCTGTTAAACAGCTAGGATTACATAATTTCTAGGAAATTCTGGCCATAGCAATCACAGCAGAAACTGTTGGGTCTGAACATATTGCTGTATGGGACATAGCTTCTGCTTTGAACAGGCTTTTATCGAATTTATTTTTTATTTTGATATTATTTTCTTCTCTCTCTTGGTTTGACTTTTTTGAATGATTATAACTTTTTAAAAATAAGAGAATGAAAAATAAGATGAATCCATGATGTAATTTTCTTGTTTATTAGATAAATTTATTAGATAAGTAATCCAGCCAACTACTATTTTAATTCAAATATGTTAAAACAATGATTAAAATAAATTATGACTCAGTATTATATGTGGTTATTCAAGTTTATCCAAACTATGATTAAAACAAAGTATGATTACAGATATGTGAATTATTTGCATACAAACCACAGTGCACTACAATATCTCCACCCCGTGTCCTTTCAGTGAAGCAGTCGACGTGATGTGCCGGTGCCTGGAAGATGTGAGGGTCTGGATGGGGGTGAACAGGCTTAGACTCAACCCTGACAAGACCGAGTGGCTCTGGGTCTTGCCTCCCAAAGGTCAACTGGATGGTCCATCATTAGTCCTGGGGGGGATAAATTTACCTCCCTCAGTGCAGGCACGCAACTTGGGTGTCCTGCTGGACTCACAGCTAAATTTGGAACAACATCTATCGGCTGTGGCCAGGGGGATCTTTGCCCAGGTTCGCCTGGTGCACCAGTTGCGGCCTTATTTGGACCGGGAGGCTTTACTCACGGTCACTCATGCCCTTGTCACCTCAAGACTGGATTACTGTAACACGCTCTACATGGGGCTACCCTTGAAGAGCGTTCGGAGGCTGCAGTTGGTTCAAAATGCAGCTGCGAGAGCGATTGTGGGCACGCCAAGGTACGCCCACGTGTCACCTATCCTCCGCGAGCTGCACTGGCTTCCTGTGGGTCTCCGGACGCAATTCAAGGTGTTGGTTATCACCTTTAAAGCCCTTCATGGCATAGGGCCAGGTTACTTACAGGACAGCATACTGCCGCACAGTTCCCAGAGACCGGTGAGGTCCCACAGATTGCGCCTCCTTCAGGTCCCGTCGGCCAGACAATGTCGGCTGGCAGGCCCTCAGGGAAGGGCCTTTTCTGTGGTGGCTCCGACCTGGTGGATTCAACTTCCCCCCGAGGTTCGAACTACTCCCACCCTGCCGGCCTTTAAGAAAGCCATTAAAACTCTCCTGTTCCGGCAGGCCTGGGGCTGATGTCCCCGGGGGGGGGCGGGATATGATCGGACACACTGTATGAATGTATTTATTTTATTGTTTTATTGTCATATTATTGTTTTAATTTTGTACGCCGCCCTGAGTCCCTTGGGATTGGGCGGCATATAAATTTTAGAAATAAATAAATAAATAAATTGGTCTCAACTAGCAGTTTAAGGTCAATGTTAAGTAGCAATAAGATAACAGCCAGCTAAACTGTGTTGCATTTTCAGTATGACTGAATATTCCAGTACAGCTTTCTAGTAATTGGTGAATAGATAAAGATTCCACATTACAGTTCAAAATGGATACAATCTTTGATGACATCAAAAAGCAGCAAGAGACCCAGAAAAATAATGGGATTGCATTTCTTTTCCCCATTTGATTTTTATTTGATTTTTGGCAGGAAAAATGTTTTAGCACCCAAACTGAAATATATTCAGGAAGAAAAAGTCAGCCCAAAGACCCTAGCCTTTGCCGTTAGTCCACAACAAATGCTCAGCCTAAAAAGAGTCTTTATCATTAGCCTACAGTACACTATTATATTCTTCAGAGCCCTATGGAGGTTCATGTCTACAGGAATGATTGCATTACTTTTAAGGATGGAATGAATGGGAGGATTTCTTCTTTTGTGGGATGTGGCAACCTCTTGGATCCAGTTTTCTATCAAAAGTGGATAAGGACATGTAATATTTCTCTCTTTCCAACACTTCCCTTTTTAAAGGGTCTTTGGTGCTGAGTTTGGTTGTTTTCTTGCAGACATTTCATTACCCAAACTAGATGACATCATCACTGCTAGCACTGATTATGTTACTTAATTTGGGTAAAGAAACATCTGCAAGAAAACATCCAAACTCAGAGAGCACCAAAAACCCCTTATTTCAAGCCTGAATTACAAATGTTCTCCTTTATTGCTTCCCCCCTTCTGTCTCCCATTCTTTTTCACATCTTTGTTTCTCTCTCCCAAGCAAAAGGCTGCAGGAAATTAACAAGACACTAAATATCTGGATTTACAGCACCTTTTGCAGGGAGTATTTAAAACTAGGCCAATTGTCACAGGCTGCTCAGAAAAGATCACCCATCCTTTGAAAAACATGTGAACTTAAGATTCATAATTATCATCACACAGATTAAACTAGGCAATGAACTCTTACTAAATATTTTCTACCACTGCCATTCTAAATGATGTTATTACTTTGAGTTCACAAGCATACCAAAGAATAGGAGCAATATAAAAAGTCACTTGAAAGTTTCCAGTCTATTATTTCATTCTGCAACTGAAGATTATTACAGCAATGTCAGCTATATCAGTCAAGACCGCAGCAATCCTAGTGCCCAGTGAAATTGATCAATACTCCTAGCTTTCCACTATCAGAGAAAACTAGCTTTCCACCACTGTTTTCAGTTGAATTGAATCTGGATGTGGATGAGCGCTATTCGTTGGTGGAAAGATTAGATATAAAATAATTGTTCCCCCTTCACACAGCCATAAAAGAAGTAATGATACCTTTAAATGAGGGGACTTTGGTACTAGTGCTAGTCCTGATGATGGTACCTAGTTTGGGTAATGAAATATCTGCAAGAAAACAACCAAATTCAGAGAGCACCAAGGACCCCTCATTCAACCTAAGCTACAGTCAATTCTCCTTTAAAGCATCTCCAAATCCCAGAGTCTCATACCATCAGCTTTCTTCTCCTTGCAAAAGCATTCTTTATCTACTTCTTTTCACTGAAGCCAATGGAAAGGAAACAATAACAATGTGGAGAAACAATTAAAAATCTGAAATAACTTTTGACTGCTGTGTCTCATCAAATACAGTAGTGAATCACTCCTTCAGAAACCACGCTAAACTGTCCTTTTAGTTTTGGCTTCCACTGTGATCTGCTTGCTAAGGCTGGAAGGCTATGCCTTTTTGGGGTGCGGAGCAGTTTGCCAAAATATTCTATATCTTTCGGGGGTCCTGCCTCTCATAATTACATAGCTTGCAACAACTAAACAAGTCGACCCTAAATATAGCTGATTTAGCGAGGGATCTAGCCAACAAATAACCCAAGGTACTCACACATGTGTCTGGAGGTTCGGATTCCGAATGGAACTCGGAAGTGGAGGGCTCGCTGAAGCTGCAGCTTTTCGCATTTTTCAGCAGCTCTTCAAGAGCAAAGATGCAAAGGCTCGTGGAAGTCGGCGTGGCGGGACCTGAGGCTGAGCTGAAAATCCCGACCCAGAGCTCGCGTTGCTCCAGGTACGCCGAGGAAAGAACTTTGGTCTCGCTGCCGGCGCCACATCGCAGAAGCTGGCTATTGTACTCGAAGGCGTTTTCCTTATAGCGAGCGATGAGCATCTTGGCCTCCGTGTTTCCATTGTTATACCAATAAGGGAAAAAGAAGTGCTTCTGCCAGCGAAAGGCATCCTCGAAGTGCAGGTTGTACACCTCCTTCATGGGCACCTGGCTGTCTTCGTCCACTCTTTTCTCGCGTACTTTTATGAGGAAGACCGCCTTGTTGGCGATGCTAGCCGGGGGATCATCGAAGCACTTGTTTAGCTTGTGGGTCGTGGCCACGACCAAGGACCAGTCTGAGCAATTGTCGCAAAACAACAGTCCGGCCGCCGCGCCTTTAGGCGCGTAGGTCACCAATTCGTCGCCCAACTTCTCCGGGGAGCTCCCATCGGTAAGGTTCTGGACATAGCAGACGCCTCGCGGCTGAGTCCAACAGATGAGCAAGCGGTCGCGATCGAAGGGCAGCAGCAGCTTGTTGACTGAGGCCACCGGCGTCCCACAGGAACTGCCCTGCGGCTCGCAGTAGCGCTCCTCCTTCCATGCCAGCGAAGGCGCCACTTCGTACCAGCAGTTGCCGCTGGCTACTAGGAAGCGCTCCCCGCTCACGGCCAGGTTAGCAACGGCACGCGGGAACTCGAGGGGCCCCTGCTCTCGGGCCCCCGCAGCAGCCCAGGCCAGCAGCAGCAGCAGCAACAGCGACGGTAGTGGCGGCGGCGGCGGCGCGGGCAACGCCGAGCTCCCAGTGTAACGGCGAGACAGCTGCCTTCTCGTGCACCCCGGTCCTCGGGCCATGGTCCCCGCTCTTCTCCAGCTACCTAGGGCTCCTCGGCTGGCGGGAGAGGCTCTGGTACCTCCGACATGCCAGCGGCTGCAGCCCTGCCCCACCCTTCGTACGAGGAGGGAACCGCTCCCGCGGCCGCCCTTCCCCCGCTCTGTGGTTTCCTCTGTGCCTCAGCTGCCTCGCGCCTCACCAGTTCCCCTTTTCTCCTTGGGAGCTGGGAAGCCCGCCTCGCCTCCGTCCCTTGCGCAGGCGACCCCGGTCCTCCCGCGCCAAAGGTGCTCCCTCCCTCCCTCCTACTGAGGGCGTGCCCGCTGGGGCGCTCCACGTGCTTGTCGCTTTTTTCCCTAACCCGCCAGATGTCACCCAGGCGGGAATCAGGCTGCTGCAGATGTGTGCCATTCTCCTGGTGGAGTTGAGGCCAGCTGGTTATTTAAATTGCGTGTGCGTGTGCGAATGGATGGGTGGGTCTCCTCGCTGGTGCCAGAAGGTTCAACCCTTGTCCTCGGTCTCCGCTCCGCCCAGGCCATGGCGCGAGGTCTCCTTCTAAAGGCGTTCTGCAGCTGACTTTCTCCCTGTAGCCGTTTTTTCTCTAGCAATTTACAGCACCAAACAACCACTCCTGGTGCGTTGTAACAAGCAGGCTTGATCGACTCTCAATAGACCTATGACTTCAAATAACCAGAGACAAAATGGCCCATGTGGATGAAAGCTGTTTCCAGACTTATATGGTAGAGCAGTGCTGGCGAACCTTTTAGAGACAGAGTGCCCAAAAACTGGCCCACCCCCCCATCCCCTGTCCTGCCCCCTCCCCACCTGCCTGCAGGGCCACTCATCGCCTCCAGGGCCTGCTGCAGATTGCCCAGGCAGACCAGCAGTGTCATGGCAGCCACGCTCTTCGCGCGCCCTGCAGCATCAACTGTGCGGGATGGGGCGTGAGGGCAGTCTTGTCTACGCCGCCTGGCTGCCATGTCCTTGGCTGTGCTGCTCCATGTGGGCCACGCTCGGGTGATTCTCCTCCAGGGGGGCTGCTGGTGATGAGAGGGTCATGGGGGAGGTGAGGCTGGGGCAATGGCACATGTGCCCATAGAGAGGGCTCTGAGTGCTGTCTCTGGAGAATCTTAGAAATAAGGCTTCTAGGGAAGCTTGGAGATCATTTAGTTTAGTTCAATTCTCTGCTCAGAGCAGGACTATACTATTACAGCAGATGGCTGTTCCAGCCTTGGTCAGGTACCTCCAGTGAGACAAAGTACACCTACCCAAGCACTCTCCCCCACTGTTGAGCAGCTTTTTTCATTACATTTTTTCCCCATGCCCAGTTGAAATCTACCCTCTTTTCCCCCCGACTTCTGGAAAAACTCTGAACAATTCCAGTCTATCTTCCACAAGACAGGCCATCAGATATGTGGCAACAGCTATTACATCTCACTGCAGTCTTCTCTTCTATAATACTGCACAGGCTAAAAATACCAAATGGCTCCAACTGTTCTTGTAAGTTTCCTTCCAAATTTCTTGTCATCTTGGTTTCTGTTCTGTGGACATCCTTCATTCTGTCAGTGTCTTTCCAAAATGTGCCCTGCACTAAATGCAATATTCTAGGGGAATTCAAGTGACCAATGCAGAATACTGTATAGAAGAATGACTTTTTCTTTAGATCTTGACATTAGACATCTGTTGATACAGGTCAGAATTACATTTGCTTTTCTTGTAACTATTTCACATGTTGGGCTCATGTTCAGATTTTGATGCTTCAAGAATCCTCAACCATTTCTGCATGATGTCTGCTCAGTATGTTACCCCATTCTATTCCAATGGCTTTGATTTTCATACCCAAATATAGAACTTTGCATATTCAAGGGCAAATTGAAACTTATCTTGCCACTTTTCTACCCATTTTTCCAGTGTATCAAGTTCTTCCTGATTCTTCATATTGTCCTTCAAGATATCCCCTTGCCTCCATATTAATTCATGAAAAATTGTTAAATATGATTTCCAGTTCCAAATCCAAGTAACTTACAAGTATGTTGAACAATGCAGGCCTTATAACAGAAACTTACTGTACACTACTTATTCCTTGTTTCAGCTTTACACAGTTCCATTAATGTGCACTTATGGGGTATGTTCATTCAATCAGTTCTGAATCCATTTACTGATAGCATAGTCTAGCCCAAAATTTTCCATCTGGTCTATTAGAATCCTATAGAAGACTGTTGAATGTTTTGCTAAAGTCAAGATACATTATGTTCACTACATTCCTATGATTAACTAAACTGATGATTCTATCAAACAGGGAGATAAAGCTAATTTGACATGACTTGTTCTTGATATGTCTATGCTTGTTCCTGCCAAACAATCCATTTGTTTTCTAAATGCTCACAAACTGATTATTTAATAATCTGTTCCACAGTGTTGTCCAGCATCAGTATCAAACCAACCACTCTGCTGTTACCCAGGTCTTTTCCTCCCACCTTGGAATATAGAAATACATTGTTTGTCTTTTGTCCTTTGACAATGAACTCCATGATGTCTTAAAGAGCATAAAGTGGCTGCCGAAATGACATTAATAAGCTCCTTCAAGACTCTCAGAAATAATTGTTCTGGACATAGAAATTTGAAATGATTAAGGGAAACCAAATGCTCCCTAGTAATCTTTACTTCCTTATAGTTGTCATTCTCTCCTTGAGTCAATTGTTCTGTTTAGGTCCTTTTGAACATAGTTTAGCTATTTGGAACGTAATCTTGCAATCATTAAGATAAAATCAGTATTCAATTATTACAGTGATACAGGCTTATATGATACACCCATAAGTTGAAAGACATTTGGGTTCAACTCCCTTGGATTCTGACATTTATATTAGCTATTAATGAGACATAGCAAAATCTTTATGGTCTTGTGTAATTAACATTGGGGGGGGGGGTTAAACTGAAAATAGCAGGATAATCTTTCTGTTGGTTAGCTTTGGCAAAGTTTGCGGTGTGTACTACAGTAGGTAGTAATAGAACTTAGACTTATATAACTCTTCACAGTGCTTTACAGCCCTCTCCAAGTAGTTTTGCAGAATCAGCATATTGCCCCCAACAATCTGGTTCCTCATTTTATCCACACCGGAGGGATGTAAGGCTGAATCAAACTTGAGTTGGTGAGAATTGAACTGCCGAACTGCAAGCAGCCGGCCTAAGAAGATATATTACTAGTAGAGGTAATCTTTGATTTACAACAGTTCGTTTAGTGACCATTCAAAGTTACAATAGCAAAAATGTTACTTATGACCATTTTTCATAGTTATGATCTTTGCAGCATCTCTATGGTCACATTATCAAAATTCAACGCTTCGTATTTTTGATGGTTGCAGTATCCCAGAGTCACGATTCCCTTTTGTGATCTCTGATAAGCAAAGTCAGTGGGGAAACAAGATTCACTTAACAACTGTGTTACTAACTTAACAACTGTGTTACTAACTTAAGAACTGTTAAGTGTGATTCACTTAACAGTTGTGGCAAGGAAAGTCTTTAAATGACTTAACAAATGCCTTGCTTAGCAACAGAAACTTTGGGCTCAGTTGTAATCATAAGTCGAGGACTATCTGTACTATTACTTGAGGAATTGTAACGTAAATTTCATTTGTCAAATTTAACTTCAACTGCTATTTTAACTATCTAAAGTTAAAATAGCTTTTTTGATGTCCAATGAGAGTCTAGCAGTTCTAAGTGCTTCACCAGTACTAGAGGATTTAACATTCCTTTATAAAAATATATATCTATAAAGCTGCACGCAAATAACAAAGCACAGCTTTTAACACTTTAATTTTTATTGCTAAAAGAGAACTCAAGGCTGCCTCAAATATGGAGGATCAGATAAAGATAACAAACACCCTACAAAAGCAATGAAATAACAGTTTACTGAGGCAGATATATCCCACAGTTGGCTACAATGGGGAAACAATGATTGATTCATTCATATTGATTCTCTTTTTGTGGGGAGTTACTGACATATTAATTTCTTTATATATAAAAAAATTGGGAGTGAAAGGTTCTTTCTCCTACAATGTGGGGCTTTGCACAGTTCAGTCCTCTCCATTTTTATTTAACATCTACATGAAACCGCTGGGTGAAATCAACTGTTACCATGGAGTAAGATATCATCAGTATACTGATGATACTTAATTATATCCCTCTGCCCCTGGCAAACTAAGTGATTCTATGGATGTCTTGTCCCGGTGCCTGGAGCTGTGGGGGTCTGGATAGGAAACAACAGGCTTTATCTGAATCCTGAGAAGACTGAATGGCTTTGGGTTTTGGAGCCTTTTGGATCTGGGACTTTATCATTTTTGGTGCTTGATGGGATTAATCTACCTAGTGCATTATCTGGGAGTCCGTTTGTAGAGCCAATAAGAAAACATTTTCTGGATCATTCTCTTGTTTGTCATTTGTAGTTCCCTTTTTATTTTTAAAACTTCAGCCAGGTTTGTTTATACAAGTCCAATAAAGTGTCCTTTTGTAAATCATTATATTGGCCTGTCATTTCTGGTTCCACTTTCTGTCCTTTCTCTCTTATCAGACAAAATTTTCCTCACAACTGTCATTCTCTCATTAGCATATTTTGAACATAATCTATCCATCTAGTCCAACATCATTAACTGAAACCATTTTTATTGTACCTACTAATTTCTAGCTCTACTCTTCAAATATCTCTAATATTTCCAGTATTATGGTTATTTTTGTCATTTTGAACAGGCTTGGATTTTTTTCTGTTTGGAATCTTTAGTCCTCACTAGTGTCCAGTTTCTAAAATTATAAAGCCTATGTTATTAGCTTAGACCAGGGGTAGGCAACCTCGGCTCTTTTATGACCCATGGACTTCAACTCCCAGAATTCCTGAGCCAGCTATGGGAGTTGAAGTCCATGAGTCATAAAAGAGCCGAGGTTGCCTACCTCTGGCTTAGACTATGTTATTAGCCTAAGATCAGGTTCCACAAGAAGCTATGGTTTAGGGTTAATTCCAAAATCTTATAGTGAAAGTCAATATTCCAAATTTAACTGAACTCTTAGTCTGTTTATAACTTCTTAGATCAAAATTTTATTTAGCTTTCTGCTGTTTATTTCAAACTCTTTAAGTTCGTAAGCTTATAATTATTTTTTCTTTGTTCAGAGCTGAAACTCAGCTCACCTAGCAACTTTTTAAACTTGTTATTCTAATGGTTTCTAATAGCTTTACGATGATTAGATAAAGAATTTCTGAAAATGATTAGAAATCGAG